TTTTATTTTGCTTTTCATTTTATTTAGTTTTACTTCATTAATATTTGATCTTGATTTATTATTTTTGTTTTGTTACTTCCTTTTACTTTATTTTTTATTAGATTTTTCTATTTTATTTTATTATTATTTTTGATTTAGATTTTATTTTATTTTACTTCATTTTCAGTTCGTTAATGCTTTATTTTATTTGTATTTTACTTTGATTTTATTAGAAGTTTAATTTATTTTATTTTTATTTTATTTAGATTTTTATTAGATTTTTTATGTATTTTATTATTTTATTTTATTTTACTTGAATTTTATTTAGATTTTTTACATTTTATTTTAATAAAATTTATCCTATTTTTATTTAATTTTACTTCATTTTCATTTGATTTTAATTTATTTTGTTATTTTTATTTTATTCAGCTTTTTTTTCTTTATTATTTTATTTTTCCTCCTTTTTATTTGATTTTAATTAGTTTTATTTTTACATTTGTTTTACTTTGTTTTACTTCATTTATATTTGATTTTGATTTATTTTATTATTTTTGTTTTGTTTTACTTATTTTTATTAGATTTTTCTATTTTATTGACCCAGCCGGGACTCGAACTAGCAACCTTCTAGCTTTGAGGCCACAGTGAAAACCACTGAGCCAGCATGCTGCCCACAAATATAGCTTTTTTACATTAAAGAAGTGTGTGTGTGCGTGCTTGCGTGTGTGTGTGTGTGTGTGCATGCGTGTGTGTGTGTGTGAATGTGAAGGTGTAGAGATCAAGGCCGGAGCGATTCCTCCTGAAGCGGTGCTTAAACATTAATGAGTGCTAATCTTCACGTCGGTGTTTCTGTAACGTCACTAATGCGCTCACTTCGTCAGCTCGTCAGTTTCAGACGTCCAGCAGAAGCGTTCAGAGAGGAGGATCTGCTCAAAGGGAATTATTTATTCAGCAAAGCTTTCCTCATGTTGCATCACGATCCCGGACCGGCTCACAACTCTGCTGGAGTCGAGGAAATAAAGGAGTAAATGAAAATATCCTGACTGAGATCTAACACACACACACACACACACACACACACACACACACACACACACACACACAGTTCTGATGTGATAGTTCAGATCTCCAGATCATTGCTGAATCATCAGGAATACCTGTGTGTGTGTGTGTGTGTGTGTGTGTGTGTGTGTGTGTGTGTGTCTGGCTGAATTTTACAAGCACAGATTCTGACAGAGGACCGTGAAGCAGACGCTTTACAAAAGTTGCATTGCTGATCATGATTTGGAGGATGGATAGATCTGTCCTTCACTACACACACAGATCTCAGACACTTTAATCTGATTCATGAACTTGTTTGAAGAACCAAATTAGCCAGAGATCAGTTATCAAGATGAACAGATCCAGGATCTGCCAAATCATCTTAGATCATTTAAGCGAGGTATGAAGAACAGAGCGCTGGTGT